GGTTGAGACATGTATTTACACAAAGCTCCAAGAAAATCAGAAAATCAGTTGAGCATGCATGTTCACTTTAGATCCACGTTATTGGATTGACATTTATTTCTGTTAAATCGAGCTAATCCCACTTGATAATTGAAGGCTATTATTTCTACACAGTCTACAGCTGTTTTCCTTTCGAATTCAACTGGCACGCTATTTAGTTATATTAAATTCAAACTATTATGTTCTCTTTTTCGACCAAATATATTTATATATATACACGCTTTGCAACTGACTGCTAGTCAACCTACTTGAAGATCAGAAATCCAACTTTTCGTTATTCCTTCTTCAGCTTTTGTTAGCATTGTCGATTATTTGGATAAATTTACTAAGTGATTTGTATATGCAAAAGTGTGCGAATGTAATATTATTAAAGTATTTCTAGAAGCCGTAGGGGTATATACGATTTTATCTCGCCTTCCATTTTTACTCTCCTCAACTTAACTCAATTACTACGGCTGATCACATTGCATTGTTTAAGTATCCAAATTTTTCGAATTGCAATTCGGACTATGCCAGTTCCGTTACGCTTGCAAATAAGTTTAGCATGTCTCATTGTCACTTTATTTTACCTTTTTTCGAAATATTTTCATCGCAAAAAAGGAAAAGCTGATGATTGCAAAAAAATGCGTCTAAGTCAAATGCAAGTCTTTCGCGCGAAAGCCTTTATTTAGAGCATTTTTATTTATAAGACCTTAAGTCGATAATTGCGTTTATACCACTAAATTGCTTTTGCTTAAAGGATTGTACATACAGCGAAAACATAACATCGAAAAAACCACATCCTTAGTTCATGGTACTTATTTTTTGTACTTGTGTTCGTACATTCAAACAATAATTTACCAATTAAAGGGAGTTCTTTATTTCTTTCCCTTAAAAGGTCACAAAATATACAAAGACGCAAACAAAAATTTCTCGCAAAGTTAGAAAAGTAGTTATAAAGTTAAGAAGTGAGCAAAAATCATTGTGAGCAATAGTAAAAACAAATTGGAATTAATTGTGCTACTGTTCATACTGTCATAAAAAATGACAATAACACAAATAGCACAGGAAGAACCCACTGATTACGCCAACCAAATAACTGCATAGGGGCGTGAAAATAGAAACATTATCAGAATTGCCAGAAATGAACCCAAAGCTAGGGCCGTTACTCTTGCAAAAGACACAGAAAAATATAAGCAAATTAGTATTCATCCCGAAATCGTTCGAAATGTTTCAAGATCCAGGGATTTTCATAGCCATTCACAGATATGCATTCCCAAGCCAAGACAGACGGTCCATCGTGCTTTGCAGACGGTAATAAACTTTCGATTGCCATCACTGCATTAGGTTGCAGTAGGTCTTTCCCCTTTGCATACCATCGTACTCGAATATATTAAACTTAGACTCGTCACTAAAATTTGCGGTTTTCCAGAAATTTATATCACCATTTTTATTGAATTCTGTAACTCGAGGTGCTCTATCATACTAACTTCGCTTGTAAGTATATAAATGCTTGCTTCCTTGGGATATGGAATGTTTTTCATTCTTAAGAAATAAATTGTCTAAGCCCCGACCCCAAAAGCCAGTCATCGATAAGAGAAATTAATTAATTTTTCGTATTGTATGTAGACTTTTTTGGGTCACTGTATATTGTATATGTGAAATTTGCAACCTCTCCAGCTCTATTGAGAATTTTAGATTAGCTTCATGTTCAGTTTACTTTTAAACTTTATTATAAATACGTTGATATTTGCTTATATTCCTTTAAAAAAATACATTTTTTTTTTTAAAAGTAAAATTTATAAAAAGTGCAAATTTATCTGTGTGTTATCACCCGATAAAAGACAGTGTTAAGTAAAAAACAAACTAATACGTTTATCACAGGACAGATAGAAAAAGAGAAGGAAAGCGGAGGAAGGAGAAACAGAGAGAGAGAGGGTAGCATAATTTTGAAGCATCTAAAGGCAGCAGTGAACACAAATTATTATAATAATAATATTATTATATGAATTGTAGCTTGTAGCTTCTAGTGTGTTTTTTATCCGTCCTGCATACGCAATAATTACAAGTTTCTTATATATGCCTTCAATAATATGATAATAGTTATACCAGACTTGATCAATGTGATAAATTTAATTGCTTTTAGCTTTTATTTGCCTTTTCAATTGAATGATTCTTGAAAAACTCGTTTATCTTGATAAACTAAATAGTAATATTAATGGAAGAAAGTGACAACATACAGTTCAAGGTAGCAAATCAAATGAGAATATTTGTTGGATACAAGCAGATATGTATATAAATCGGCGGAAGAAAGCCTCAATAAGACCTACAATTTATACACTTGCCAGTTTATCATGGAAACTTCTTTCAATTTCGTCGTATTTCTATCCGCCTCGCCGCTCGATGGCATTGTTAAAAGCGCAACAAATGAAGCAATAATCGACGTTAGTAAAAAAAATTTTGAAATTTTTCGAAAAGATTGCCTATAGCGCATGTTGACCAAAAAGTTCATGTAATGTTTAACAGAACCATATCGTAAATCAGAACGAAGATAGGCATGTGATGACAATTGCTAAGGTAGATTATATCAACATATTCATTTGATGACAATTGCCGTCTGTCCGTCTGTGGTCTGTTCATGCGTCGTTAAGTTCAATCTAGAGGTAACAATTTTTGAGATATGCTGATTAAATTTGGTACACCGAGAAGAAAAGCTACTGAAAGTGGTTCAGATCACATCACTTTTGTTCTGTTTTTCATTTAGCATTATTTGTTAGGCTCTTTTTTTTCATACATTTGACTTGGGCGTGCGTTCTCTTTGACTTAAGAGTACTTTTTCTTCAGCATGGAACTATTTATTGGATTGTTTCTCTTTTTCATTTGACGGTTTATTTAAGGTAGGGCTAGTTTTTCTTTGACAAACGGGATAAAAGGTAAGGTGATCACAATGTTTATTGCATAGACGTTTGGGCGTTGTGAGAGTGCCTTTTGACCAGGTTGGCGGACGGACAATGTATGGGGTTTTTGAAGCTTGTTTCTGCGCATCATTAAAATATTTACAAAAAAAAATTAAATGTTAATACACTATAATATTGAGAAGGCGTGTTTATGAGTAATGAGCGAAAAAACAATTTGTATACCTTTTGGAGAACAGTTTACGTTGCATTAGAGGCGTATTCTTCGACCGAGATGACCTATTTTCAATACCAATCAGCATGCAGGGACTTCCGATGTTTCTGCGAAAATTAAACTCGATCGCTCCAATTTT